GTCACATAAAATGATGAAATGCATAACATTTTTCTTTCAAATTGTTGAGATCTCTGTGTTGCTCTAGTTCATGGTCAAGTTTAGTAAATTATTGAATGAAAAGCTGTTTATGAGGCATAAGGTCCAATACATGGCAAAGGAATCAAGCTTGTTAATTTTGTGATTTCAGTGTTATATGCAAATATCAAAGCATGCACCATAAAAAAATTAAAAATATATAATTGCATTTTTAAAAATTTCCTCTTATTAACTTTGATTAATAAGTTTGTCTACCTGATCTGTTTCTAAGAGAGTTCTCTTCCATTCTTACTATGAGCGTTGTTTTGCCAAGTTTTGCTAGTAATTCTCTTATATAGCTTCTCTTTGTATGTTTTGTGGCTGTATATTTAGGTGCATTTAAGGTTTGTATTACTTTATTTTCTTGGCAGATTGCTCATTTGATTCTTATAGAGTATCCCTTTTTTCTCCATAAATGATGTTTACTTTTTTTTCTTTTGTTTGGTTTCTTTTAGTTTGCCTGCAAGACATTTTTCTATCCCTTCATTTTCAATGTTTCCAGTGTGTATGTGGGTGTGTTTATGTTTCCTTAAAAGAACTAGATAATTTTAATTCAGTATTTTAGTCTCTAACTTTTCTTTTCTTTTTTTTTTTGAGTTGGTGTCTCACTCTGTCGCCCAGGCTGGAGTACAGTGGGACACTCACCGCCACCCCAGCTTCGACCTGCTGGACTCTGGCGGTGATCCTTCCACCTCAGCCTTCCAAGCTGCCGGAAGTAGGCGCGTGCTACCATGCCCGGCTAATTCTTTTATTTATTGTAGTGATGAGGTCTTGCCAAGTTGCCCGGGCTGGTCTTGAACCTGTGGGCTCAGGCAGTCCACTTGCCTTGGCCTCCCAAAGTGCTCAGGCAATGCACTCGCTTCTCCTCCCAAAGTGCTGGTATCACAGGCTGAGCCACCGAGCCTGGCTGGTCTCTAACTTTTCATAGGAACATTTAATTCATTTACATTTATTATAATGACTGATATATTTGAAACTAGTAGTATTTTCTTATTTTGTGTTTAGTATTTATTCCTTTATTGTCTTTTTTTCCCCTCTTCCTTTATTACTTTCCTACTCTTGGGTAGATCATTCATGTTTTTTATATTCCTTTTTGTTCTACTGTTGGCTCAGAAACTATGTTTCTATTCTTTCAGTAGTTACTTATAAATCTGAAGATAAACACTTCATCATAGGCATTATTTTTTATTTGTTTATTTATTTATTTTTTATTTTTTGAGTTGGAGTCTTACTCTGTTGCCCAGACTGGAGTGCAGTGGCCGCTCCTGGCCACCGCAGCCTCCACCTGCTGGGCTCCGGCGATCCTTCCACCTCAGCCTTCCGAGTAGCCAGAATTACAGGTGCGTGCTACCACGCCCGGCTAATTTTTTGATATATTGTGGAGATGAGGTCTCACCTGCCCAGGCGGGTCTCGAACCCACGGGCTCAGGCAATCCACTCATCTCAGCCTCCCAAGGTGCGGGATTACAGGCTGAGCCACTGAGCCCGGCTTATCATAGACATTATTATTTCCTTCATATAAGTGAAAGAAGGGAGGTTCATAAAAATAAAACAACTTGCCCAGGATCATACAGCCGGTTAGTACCGTAAGTAGACTTTAAGCAAGTTCTATATTATTTGAAAGTCTGTAATCTTTAAAATTCATCATGATTCGTTTAAAAGTGATAAGGTCCACTTAGCTAAATGATATGTTTGTGGAGCCTTTTTTTCCCATTATGTTATCAGGCAGCCTAGTTCTACCATTAATTTGTCATGAAACCTTCAGCAACACACATTCTATTTCCTTTTTTTGTGGTTTTTACGCATTCTATTTTTAATTCCCAATTTCCCCATCTGCAAAGTGGCTTGATGATCCCTAACAACATTTCTATGTCTTATTTTAATAGTGTGTGGAGAGTTTTTTGATAATGGACATTTAACAGCTACCCCAAACAATTTGCCTTTATGATAAATGGTGAACCGATTGAGGTTTGAGTATAGTTTCCCACAACAACACTAAATATCATTTAGATTTATTGGTTAATTATTCACTATCTTTATCCAAGCTTGAATCTTTGTGCTGTAAAATGGGAATTTGTAGAATGACATTTATTTCCCATTAACCTAATGAGGGCTTTTCCCCACCTCATCTTCTGTAGCAATTCATTATGAAGGGGAGGCTGACTGGTCTGCGATTTTGTTGTGAATTTTGTTTGCATTGCTCCCTCTGGGAAGGAGATGGTGCCAGCATTTCCAGGGGCTTTCTGGCAGTAAGGATTGTGTAATCTGAGCCCTCTCTACTGCATGGTCCGTGTAAACATTAGAGAATGTCCCTGATGCCAGCTCTCCCCATAGGATAATTAAACACACTTTAGGATATGTGCAGAGCAAAAGCAGACAAAGATATAAGAATGGTCCAAATCCTGATGCTCAAGCATAATCATGTGAAAATCTGGGCTCTAGAGTAAATAAATCTGAGTTCAGGTAACAGTTCCACTAGGTATGGTGCAGTGGTTAGAGACTTACAGTCTAATGCTGCCTGTCTTCAAATCCCTGCATCAATCCCTGCATCGCCACTTAGTAGCGGTATGACCTTGGACAGATCACTTGCCCTCTCTGTATTTTATCAGCTGTACTTCCATTTTCCCCTGACAATGCATACTTAAGAGCCCTAGGTAGCCTCCCTCACCATGTGACCTGCTCCTACCCTGGGGTTTTATACCCTCATGCCTGCCAACCAGAACGGCACATCCCAAACTGTTTCTCATCTCTCTGTCTTTGCTCACATAGTGCCTGCTACCTGGAATGTCCTTCCTGTACTCCCTGCCCTCCTCTCTTTCACCCCTGGCTAGGAGTAGCCAGTTCCTACTTCCCAGTTTCATCTAACCTGGGCTGAATAATGCTCCTCTGTGCCTTCACAACACATTCTTTTTTAAATTAAGAAAAAAAAAATACGTCTTATGGTATGTTTTACTAAAACTACTTCTTTCTAGCCAGAAAAGCTGGATTCATATCCCAGCCCTGACATTTACTAGGCATGTGATCTTGGACAAATTGCTTCATCTCTGTAAGCTTCAGTTTCATCATCTGTAAAATGGGAATCATAATATACACCTCATGGATTCATCGCGATGACTAAACATGCTAATGGCCACAAAGTGTTTAGAATAGTACATGGCACTTAGAAAGTGTCTATAAATGGATGGAAACTGTTACTACTTTTATAAAGGCAATAATAATAATGTCTACTTTTTAAGAGATTGTCACAGAAGTTAAATGCAGTAACATGTGACAAAGAGTCTGGCACCATGCCCAGCCCTTAGCTCAGCTCAGCAGGTGACATACACATTAAAAAAAAAAAGTACATATATATATATATATATATATATATATATATATATATATCTCCCATATTTTAAACTTCCTGAAACCATACAGCTGAGAAAAAAAGGCTGTATTCTAAGAACCAACTCGTTTTTTCAAAGAATTCAAAACCAATGGTAAAGAAATTATAAAATGAAATCTGGAGGAACACATTCTAGGTCATCAGACAATGCTCATAATCCTTTCTATTTGGAAAGCGCTTGACAGCATACAAAGTGCTTTGCGATCCATTATCACATCTGATCCTTGTCTTATCTCAACATGGAGGACAGGGATCAGGGATTTTTTTTTAAAACCACTTTTTACAGAAAACTTAAGAAAACTTGGGTTCCAAGAGGTGGTGTGACTCAGCCACAGATCCCATCATCAGCAAGTAGTGAGTCAGGGTTTACAGCCTAGGTCATCTCATTCTCAGTCCCATGTTCTTTCTAGAATGTTCCAGAGCATTCTGAGCATCCCAGGAAACAGCATTTGACATGGAGGCACAGATTTCTGGGTATGGAAAAGCCAAACCCTCACATTAGGCACCTGCACACTATTTTCTTTCAAACTTGATGGGTCATGTTCTTTCCTCTGGTCTCCTGAAGAGTCCAAGAAAGGGCTGTCAGTTTCTTTCAGGGAGGTTACCACACAGTGTTTTAAGTCAGTTGTTTCTAGAGAAGATTGTAGGCTGTCAGAATTTCAAGTGGGGCCCTAGTGTGGTTTGCACCCCCTTGCCTTGGCTCTGCCTGTTTCTTTGCTGCTGGAAATTGTCAAGGAGTCTGAGGTCACCTTTCTGGCACCCAGTCCAGGCTGTGATTTCTTCAGACCCACTCAACACCTGTCCCTTGAAAATTTGGGATTCTGAGGGAAGGAACATGCTTACCTCCAGGTGAGATCCTGGAGAAAATGATCTCATCAGACTGTCCTTAAACTGGCAAAGGGGACCAACTCAAGGGACAGAAAAAATGGATTTAGATCATAAAAAGGAACATGGTTATAATGTACTGAGGTCTAACATACATGTGGTGAAATAAACTATATTCCCATGTACAGCATGACATACATTTAGAGAAGCATACCACATCTCACGTGTACAATGAATTTTCATGAACTTAGGAAAGAGTATTCAGATCAAAAACATTGATAACCCCCAGAAGTCCCCCTCATGCTCTGTTCAGTCTCTGCCCACCCAGGGTTATCCTGACCTCTATCAGACGCTGGCCAACAGCACAGGAACTTACTTGGCACATGAGTAGGCTCTGAGATGACATGAAGTTATTCGATGACCTTGGTGTCAAAGATGGGAAGGAATGACTTTGGATTCATACAGGCAGTGTTAACAGTATTGATAGCACTCATATTTGTTGTCCATTTGCTGTGTGTCTGGTATTAGGCATGTATTTCACAGCAGCCCTAAGTGATTGGTGCCATTTTACAGATGAGGAAACTGAGACTTGGGCAGGAGAAGGGTCTTGTGCAAAGTCATGCAGCATGAATGGTGGCAGCAGGATCTGAGCCCACAGATCTTGGTTCTGGAAAACTTGGGCCCTGGCTGCTGCCTTGCCAACCAAGCTCACAGGCCTTCCTTTGGCTTCCAGATTGGCCATCGGGACTTTGATGTGGAGAAGCGTCTTCGGAGAGACCTCCGGAGGACGCACGCACTGTTGTCAGATGTGCAACTCCTTCTAGGCACCATGGAGGATGGCAAGACGTCGGTCACCAAGGAGGAGCTGGAGAAAGTACACAGCCAGGTGGGCACTGTGGGGTTCCCTTGAAAACTGGGCTAGGGAGGCTCCCAGTTAAGGGAGGGGCCACAGCAGACCTCCAACTGGGAGGGATGCATGGGCCATGGTAGCCTGGTAGGTGAGGAGGAGGGGTCTAAGGAGGAGTCGTCCCATTTTTTTTGAGTTGGAATCTCACTCTGTCACCCAGGCTGGAGTGCAGTGGCATGATCATGGCTCATCATAGCCTCGACCTTCTGAGTTCAGGCAATCCTTCTACCTCAGCCTCCTGAGTAACTGAGACTATGGATGTGTGTCACCGTGCCTGGCTAATTTTAACTTTTTTTTTTTTGTAGAGATGAGGTCTTGCTATGTTTTCCAAGTTGGTCTTGAACTCCTGGGCTCAAGTGATTCTCCTGCCTCAGCCTGTCAAAGTGCTGGGATTACAGGAGTGAGCCACTACGCTGAGCTGCATGTGTGTGTGTGTGTGTGTGTGTGTGTATGTGTGTGTGTGTGTTGATCACCAGTCCTGGGTATGAACCAGATACTAATAGTGCCAGTGATGCAAAGCCAACTCAATAATAGCAACAATTATGGTCGACTTGGCTGCCTATCAGGATGATCAAGGTATGATGCTGACTCCTGGCTGCTGCCATCTAGAGCCCTCACCCGGTACTGGGTCCTCTGTATCTATACGTGTTGTTGCATGGTGTTCTCAGGAGAGCTGGGTGAGGTGAGGACCATCAACTTCATTTCACTGGATGTTTGGGTGGCAGGAAGGTGAGATGACCCACCCAAAGCCTCACAGCTTGAAGTTGGCAGAGCTAGAATTGGAACCCAGGTCTTCAGGCTCCATCATCCCAGGCTGCCTCAAAGGAGGACAGCAGTGGCAGGTCTGAGGATGAATGGGAGGTGAGGCCAGGCAGGAGCTGGAGGACCTTGGGAGACGTGAACAGCTGGCTGCAGACAGAGTGGCCCAGGGTGGTGGTGTGGAGAGATGTAAGTGCATCCCACAGGATGGCACAAGCTTTGGGGAGAGAGGTCCCAGAGCCAGATGACATAGCAGGGACTCAGGGTTTGCCTCCAGTCTCATGGGGAACTGGAAGCACCCAGGCGGACTCAGAGCCCCGCTAGGAATGCTGTGCCCATGCACTTGTTGCTACCCTCTAAGCCACACCTGCCTTGCATGAGACATTCTTGCTGAGACCAGAGGCTTCACCACCGCCCTTTCTCAGAGTGTTGCCATCCCTTCCTCCTCATTCTCTGGCCTTGTGTCATCTGGCCTCAGCTATGCCACCTGGCTAGGGGTTTCTTTATCTTTACAGAATATCCCCAGAAACTCAGGTCATCTGACTCCCCAAGAAAACTGTAAGCTTCCCGAGGGCAGAAACTGTGTTTCATTTGTCTCTGATGATGCCCATTCAGACCTTTGCACATAATAAGTATTTTTCCTGTTGAATTCGATTGGTTTGTTCACCTCACCTTATAGATGAGGAAACTGAGGATCAGAGAGGTCCAAGGCCCCACAACCAGTCAGATGCTGAGCCAGGCTTAGAACCCAAGTTTTCTGACTCCAGACCTGGTGCCCTTCTCCCTTCCTTCTAACAAAATAGCTCATGATGGTCAGCAGGTTCCCAGGAAGACAGCGAGAGGCCGCAGAGTTATTAGAAACAGAAAGTCCACAGCTTCTACTGCTTCCAGTCTCTGGTGTCAGTTTCTGTCTATAAAATAAAATGTTTCAGCCGGGCTCGGTGGCTCAGCCTGTAATCCCATGCCTTTGGGAGGCTGAGGTGAGCGAATTGCCTGAGCCCGCGGGTTCGAGACCCGCCTGGGCAGCAAGACCTCATCTCTACAATAAATCAAAAAATCAGCCGGGCATGGTAGTGCATGCCTGTAATTCCGGCTACTTGGAAGACTGAGGCGGAAGGATCGCCGGAGTCCAGCAGGTCGAGGCTGCGGTGGCCGGGAGCGGCCACTGCACTCCAGTCTGGGCGACAGAGTGAGACTCCAACTGAAAAAATAAAATAAAATAAAATAAAATAAAATGTTTCAGATAAAGCTTATTAGCTTAACTGGAAGACCTTAAAAAAGCAGTAATAAAACCTAAATTCAGACTTGCCTTGCATTTCACCAGTTTCTACATGAATGCTCTTTTGCTGTGCCAAGATCCACCCCAGGGCACCACATTGCAGCTAGTGGTCATGCCTTCCCTCCTCTTCTGGTCTGGGACGGTTTCTCAGTCTTTGTTGTTCATGACCGTGATGATTTCAAGGAGTGCTGACCAGGTGGGTTTGTCTGACTATTTTTTCATGCTTAGACCCAGTTTATGGGCTTTTGGAAGGAACACCAGAGAAGTGCAGTGCTGTTAAGCCAGAAGACGTTTCTATAGTTCTACAATTCTTAGGCATCTCTTTCATCTAGTCATTCTCTTCTAGGATAACTTACCCTCCTGGCTTGTCTGGGACTTCCTCAGTTCTGGCACTGGAAGTCCTGTGTCATGGGCAAATCAAGATGGTTGGCCATTCTGTCATCTTCATGGCCACATCTGAAAGCCAGAGTCACCTGTGCCTGAATGCATCCCCTCACTAAATCCTCATGATATGCCTAGTTAGGGGAGGCAGTATTGTGTCCATTTTACAGATAGGAAAACCTTGTCCAGAGGTGGCTAGTAGTGTACCCGAGGTAACACAGCAGGTGAGTGGCAGAGTTGGGATTCAAATCCAAGTGCAGAATCTAGGGGTTCTTTTGCCTCACCTTGTATCTTTCTGCCTGTTTGGCTGACCAGTTTGGTAGGGAACCTTGTACCTCTTGACTCGCCTCAGACAGGCAGAGGAGCTGTCTGAGTGCGTGGCCAGGGCTGGGCACCTTGAGTTCATGCAGCCCCTTGGTAGGGGCACATGCCTTCCTGTCTTCCATCAAGATGCTCCCAGTGCCACAGCACCCATGCCTCCCCTCCCCTGACAGGTGGATGTTCTTGAAAAGAAACCATGATGATTTTTATCTCTTTTTCTTTATTCTTTCTTTCTTTTTTTGTATTCATGAGAGTTCTTCCTCTGCAGGGTTAAAATGTGTGTTCTTGGGAAATAGTGGTATTTAATGAAGGCGCTTTGAGCAGAATCAAAGAGCCTCATTCTTCTGAAAGTCCTTCTTCCTGGTCTCTGCATCCGGCTCCTATCAAAGGAATCCACAGCCTTGGCTTTCCGTTGCTGTTGTCATGGAAATTGGTGTAAGGATGGGATCGCGTGGACCAGAGGTCAGGGTACGGTTGCTTTGGCTCCCAGCACATGTGTCCCGGATGCCAGAGTCAGAGCTAATCAAATAAAGCAGCAATGACATCGGGCATTGCTGCATCTCCCTCTCATGTACTATTTTGTCCTTTGCCTGAAGGCTCCAGGGACAGGCAGGAAGGCAGGCAGGAGGAGGAAGGGAGAGGGAGCTCACTTTGCTGTTGGCTGCTTCTTAAGCACTGAACAATTCCATTCATTCATTCACTCATTTATTCATTCTTGGGTATTTATGCAGTACCTACTCTGTGTCAGGTAATATGCTAGATTCAAGTATGATCATTAGCAAGATAGGTGTGGTACCCACCCTCGTGGGACTTACGTCTAATGGAAGTGAAGACAAATAAACAATGGTACAAATAAATAGAGTCATCCCGTACTTTTATTTTGGTGGGAAAGGAAATAAACAGGGTCCCAGTATAGGGAACTGCAGGAGGTTCTCTTTCAGCTTGGGTGGTATGTGCTAAACTACCCCGGGAGAAGGAGATATAGGCAGGGACCAGAACATTCAGGGTCTGGAAGGTTTGGGTTTTATTCCAAGGGTGCTGAGAAGCCACTAGAAGATTTGAGCAAAGTGCCACAGAATCTGATTCACATTTTAGAGGATCATTCTTCTGTGTGGAGAATGGATTATGGAGGAAGTGAGTGTGTATCCTTAAGAGACTAATGCACTTTTAGGCCAGAGGAAATGGTCACCTGGGTTGAGGGGTGTTGATAGAGACGGCAAGAAAGGACAAACTTGGGGCTGATTTGGAAGTGACAAGACTTGCAGGTAAGGTTTGGTTAGTAACAATTAAGTGTGCTATTTCAAGCAATCTTTTCCATAACACTAGAAGGTGGAGAGTCCTATTTTTTACCCATTTTACTAGTGAGGATACAGTCTCTGAGAGGTTGAGTAATTTACCCAAGGGCACACAGCAATACACGTCCTGTACTCTTGCAACTTGGCTTGCACAATATGGGTCCTATTATCACTCACCAAGCACTTACTACCTACCAGGTTTTTCCTTGGTGTCTTGTGGGGGAGGTCCTCAAATTTGCATATCAGAGAACTTAGCACCATTTAAAAATCACAGGTGTCTAGATCCCACCCCTTAGATACCCTTTTTAAAATGTGAGTCGGGACTCAGGATCTACGTTTTTAAACCCCATCAAGGGATTCTGGTGCTGGTCTTAGGACCAGCATTTGGGAAACACAGGCCTCAATTATCCCTCAAAACATCTTTTGAATTCAGTGGCAGTATATCCATTTTGCAGATGAAGAAACTGAGAGCAAGGTTATATTCACAGGACAGATCTTAGTTTCACCTATTTTAAAATTAATGAAATCCTAACAGAACTGGACCCAACACTTGCAGATTTTGTGACCTTTGACGAGGAACGTGATATCCCCAGTCCTTTTCCTAAAATGGAATGTCATCATCACTTGACGTCCTAGGGACTGATACAGAAAAGCCAGTGGAGGGGCTTCAGAAACTCAAATGGACCTTGTGACCTTGACGGCTTGCTTGAGGAGATGATGGGGAACCCAGAGAAAGGGGGATGCTGTAAGGGGGCCATGGATGAGGGAGTGTGTTCAAACACATATGTTGGAGAACTGCAATCCTTCTGCCGATATGGAAACGGTCTCCATGCTTGGGTCCAAGCTACAGGGGAAGAGAAAATGACAAGGTTCCTGCCCTGGAGAGGCTCCTGGTCCTAGAACAGACTCTAAGCCGGGCTCAGTGGCTCAGCCTGTAATCCTGC